AAATTGACTTATAGATAAGTATTTTACCACAAAATGGAGTTTGGATTTTAGTACAGGGTGTAATAAATGGAATTTAGTGTTTAATAATTTTCTTTTAGATTCGTGGTGAGGAGAGCTTGTAATCTTTTAAACTAAAAAAATACCTAGATATTTAACTTAAGCCAAGCAGGGAATAGGAACTCTTTGTAGAATGATAATAGGAATTTATTTTTATTTTTGAGGGTAAAAGGAACGAACAGATTTATCAGCATTTCGATTTTCCRATTTTAAGAAAATTCTCATAAAGTCAAGGTGGGTGATGTTGAAGAGCAGTGAATGTTTCAATTGGGTCATTATTGGACGGGTTTTATATTTAAATATTACTTGATTTTATACTCGACTTACTGCTGGTCTACTAATTATAATAATTATAATAATTGTATAGTAGTRAAAATTTTAAATTAGTATTTTTTTTATATAAATGGTCGTCATTAGTTACTCGATGCAAATGAGGTAAAAGCATGCGTCAAATTGTCAAGATTTAGGCATGAAATAAATAAATAATATCATAATACAAATAGTTACCTAGTTACCTAGAACCAAAGTGAATGATGTATTTTTACTTTTTAAAAAATTTTTCAATAACACTAATCTTAATTCTACTTACTGATCATCAGGTGTAAAATTTACTGGTTCATCTGTAAATTCTGATGGGAAATTGGCAAGGTCACGTTCAGAATCTAGTTGTGGTATATAACAAGGGATAACTTGCTTTTGTTCTAACTATAAATTATTATAAATAATAATAAATATAAATATAATAGTCATTTGAATTGTTTAATTACATTTTATCAGTGCTATAGTAATATTTATGATTTAAAATGAAAAAATGTGTATGATTTACCATTTCCCAATCAATAGACTTGAAGAATGGGTGATATTTAACATCATAGAAGCCATTTTTTTCATCGCAACCCAAACGGTCAGCAGGGTTTTTATTTAAAAACCCCGTTAAAACCAAAGCTGCATCAACAGAAAGTGATCTTGGAATACGAAGAGGTTTTTCCAAAATAACTATAAAATAAAATATTGAACAATAAGAAAACTGTTTTAAAAGAATGCTACCCATGTATCTGTAATCTTTGCCCTATAAACGTACAACAACTACAAAATGGCAAAGGTAAGAGCGTTATCTATGTTTATGAGTCGGATTTCATTCRATATTTTAATTTCCAAGTGTGCTATGAGTAATTTTAATTTGTGATATTCCCATATCCATTTATTGCTTGWAAATTAAAATATCGAAAAATTTCTGAAGCATAAGCATAGATAATATTCTCACCTAGAAGCTTGATAATAGGTCAATTTACTAGAAAAACAAAACTAACAGCATACTATGTTAAAAGTTTGGAAGATGATAACAAATACACGGGAAGCGTCATCTCAAAATAACTGTTGTCAATATTATAATAAGTACCTTCGTATAAATCTTGCTCTTTATTATTTTGTCCTTCATTAAATTCAAATGGGCATTTGCCAACCAACATTTCATGCAAAAGAATTCCTAAAGCCCACCAATCCACACTGAAAACAAAGCAAATTGATCTTAATATCATGTATTTATTAATTGAATTGATTAGCTGATATAAATTACATGAGTAAAATATGTTTTTCTTTCCAAAAAGAGATCAATAATTATTTATAGTGGTCGGAAGTTGTAGGAATTGCATATTGTTAAGAATGCTCTCAATTTATTGCARACCAAGCTAGAAATTTGAGCTAAGCTATACAATGTTGAGTTTAAAAATTAAAAATACATAATTAGCATATTTAATTTATTTTATATAAAATGTGCATATTTCGTCCATTTTAATTGATTTTTGCATATTTAATATTTTCTAAAAAAAAATAATTTAAKTATTTTGTATTTCAAAAACAACGAAATATATTTGTTTAACTGTTTTTTCAGTGCAATAAAATTTTAAACACCAAACGGTTATGTTTTAGTTTTCAATAATACATATTTTTCCAATAGGTATAGGTTTTTAGATTTTTTCGTGTGAATTATTAAATAAGTATTAAACTTTTAATAAATAAATAAATGAATGAATAACTACTTTATTTTTCATTTTTTCATGCATATTTTGCCTTTTTTTGCTCCTTAAACTTCCGAACCCTATTTATAACCATGTGTATATTCAATTTAGTTTTAAAAAATGTATACCTAAATCCATATTCTTCTTCTCTTAAAATTTCTGGAGCAATGTAATTTGGAGTACCGCAAAGTGAAGAAGTTTTATATCCGGGCCATATTCCCTGTTTACACATTCCATAGTCTGTTAATTTTATGTGTCCTTCATGATCAAGTAGTACATTTTCTAATTTTAAATCACGGTATATTATACCTGAAATAAGCCAAGATAAAAACAAATAATCAACTAATATGTACTTAAACAGTTGAATTGGTTCAAACATTTTTTAATGGTCAGGTTAGGTATACAACTAGATTTATTAGAATTAATTATTTATAATAATTAAGTATTTTATRATTAACTTATAGAAAATTAATTATTAGTCAAATAAATATTATTGATATTGATATTAATATTTATTAATAATTAAGTGCTCATAAATTGACAAAAAATAATTGAAAATTGATAATAAGTGAATGTTAAAAAATGGTACCTATGCTATCTATAACCAAGAACACAAACATATATATAAGAATCCCGTGAGAAAATTTGTCAAATAAATTCACATAAAATGTAAAAACTAGTAATTTAAAATTCTAAGAAAACAGGGAAAATTACTCTGCTGTTTATAAAGTTTTGAGTGTTCTTTATCATTGAAATGGAAGTGTTAAATTCTTATTCAATGTTAAACATTTAAAAATTATTTTGAAATATACCTTTAATTGTGGTCTAAAAATAAGTTTTTTTTTTGAACACTTGGTAACAACTTAAAAAAAATTCAAAAAGTTGAAAATTTCATGTTTATTATGATAATCCTAAAAACCTCAAAATATTTTTTTTAATTATATCATGTCTAGACAATGCTAACATAAATATTTGATGATAATTTTAAGCATCAAAAGTTATTTATATTTTTACAAAAAATAAACATAACTGTTTTTCATTATCATAAACTGTTGCATACATATTCATATTTTCCAAGCAAATYTTTTAGTTTTAAAAATKTTATAATTTATTTTTAGGCTCTTGAGATCAAAAAGGTTACTGACTTCTGTATTGAATGGTTTTTCTACATAATTTTATAGATTCGTTACAAATAAAAGTTATTTGATTGTAAAATTGAAGTAAATTAAAATATTAATTGTATTATGACTGTATGAAGAATTACAATAAATTTATATTATACAATAATAAATTATTATACTAATCATAGGATATTATACTGATTATACCTCTAGTATGTAAATAGTTTAAAGCCAATCCAATTTCTGCTACGTAAAATTTAGCATGGTTTTCAGGTAATTGTCTTTTTCTTTGCATAAGATACATCAAATCACCTCCACGAACAAATTCCATCACAAAGAATAATCGGCTGGCTGTTTGGAAGCAAGAATGGAGAGTAACCAAAAATGGATAATTAGCGGCAGTTATAAAAACATTTTTTTCTGTTTGTACCCAAGTAGTATCCTAAAATATAAAACATAAATTATAAATAGATATATTTAATGTTCAACTGTATTATCTTTAGATCATAAACTATGGATATACCCATGACTAAATAAATAGGCAGGATTACAAAAAACCAATTTTCGTCCAGTTGCCTAAAATCATTGCTCATATTTCTGTGCATTTCATTGGTAGGTAATATTAATAGAATATAATAGAATCAGATAATTATGCTATAAACAAGGCAAGGGTATTATATGTATCATAAATTTGTGATCATACCTATTTATTTAGTCATGGATAGACCCATGTCCCAATAACTTGAAGCAYAGATAAGTGAGAAACATCTAACTGAGATACTTCATGAGCACATGCATCAAGAGAAATATTGCATATTTAATGTTTATCTTTGTGAATTATGAAATATTAATATCATAAATCATACGACCAACAGTTAAATATGTGATGTTTCACCTCACTTATGAAGCATCTCACTCAGAGACTCGTCATTAATATTATGTGCTTTTAATTGTTTACACAAGCAAGATGGGCATGACTCCATCTATAATATAATATGATCAAAGGCATTATCGAACTATTCAGTTGTATAAACAATGTTTAAATGGAATTAAGTATATAAAATTACTTTATGAGTTATAAATTTATAATATTTAATAATAGATAAATAAAAAAAAAAAGCTATCTATAAATGTTTTAGATTGTCCACCAGACCACACAATTTTAAATGATTGGCTGTTATTTTACAATCAAACTTAATATGATGACATATATTATTTTCTGTTCAAGTTAACAAATGTAGTTGGTGGCCAACTTGTGCACAGAGGCATGATATATAGATAGTCGGTATGATAGGATTAATTAATGCGTGTTGCCTGACCACTGCGACAGAAACTCTCATCGCTAACTGTGTTCTTAACTTTAATAGATTATAGATTGGTTTAATTAAAGAATAAAAAAATGTTGGCATTTGCATGCCAATAAAAAAAAAAAATAGAATAAAGTACTACTTTTATACAGAATTATAATATGATTCAATGTTAAATTGAAAGTAAATATACCGTGTTCTTATACATTAAAACTCAAAATATTATACTAAGACTTAACTAATTTTAATTAAAATATATTAATTACTTCAAAATTTGAAACAAGTTCTTTTTTTATAACTTTCATAGCATAGATACGTTGATTTTTTTTATGTTCAACCATTAACACCTTGGCATAACTGCCACGACMAATAACCTTAATTGGTTCAAAGTCGTCAAAAGAATATTGACGYGAAACTCCAATTTCTGCATCACCTGCTAAGAATATAATTAAAAATTAAATGACATAATAATACTATTTTTATAAATTATATTTACCATCTAAATTTTCAATGAGTACAGAATCACCTGGTTGATCAAGAACATCATTCTGATCAGAAAAATCTTTTAAATCCAACAAAGCAGTATCAGAGCAAAGTGTACCTAAGTATTAACATTATATTAATTAAAAATACATATTAATCAATTTAATAATATATATTTTTATATAATTACTTAAAGATGTTTGACTGTCTCCTTCAGCGTCATCACTAACTACAGAATCATTAGAGCAAGTACTTTTATCAAACTGCTGAGAGTTTTGGTTTGCTCCCAATCTGCATTGAATGCATTTGAGTTCTTGCTGTCTTAAACCTCGAAATTGATCTTGATAGCAGAATGCACATGATGCTCTCTGATCATAAAATAAGAATAAGAATTAAATAATTATAAATAGTAATGTTATAGTTATATATATATAAAATCACATTCAATGGAAACAAAATGTTTAATACTACTATAACTATGACATACTAAATTATTTTCATGTTCTCGATGTTTAATACAACTGCAAAATATTCCCATATTCATATTATAAATTTGTATTAAGAACCATTGAATGAGTGTTTACCATAAAGAATGTAGAATACAACTAAAAAACCTTATATATAATTTGTGAAGAAACAAACTTCCAGAAATTATTATTATTACTATTTTTTAATAGCTATTTGATAATTAATTAAATGCCAAAACATCTCTTATCTTGCMTTATTGTATACAGAATACAGAATAGATACTAAATGACCTTAGACCCTTTTCTAACATGAAACATGGTGAATATAATTTAAGAACTGTTTATCTAATGATATTAATTGCCTGATAAAACTAAAAATATGTATATAAAAATTAATTCAATATTTAACTAAGTGTAAATTTGGTAYTGAATTAATTTGATTACATTTTTAAACTATATCACACAGATAAAATAATACAAAAGGAAAATGTTAATGAAATTCATAAAAACATTTTAGAATTATTTCACAGTTAAAAATACATAAAAGGTTTCATATTTATACCAAAGTTTTGAACATTTATTAAACAAAAAGTTCTTTATAAATATTCATTAAGAACATTTTTTTTTCTTATAATAGTCAATCTTATTACAATGGTTCCCAACCTTTTAAGTTGTGCAGACCACCGATAATGTAAAAAAAAAAAAAACATTGAGGCCTAGTAGTATATGAAATATAAACACACATAAATAAGATGATAGAAGAAACATAAAAATCATATAAAAATCTCGATGTTGATTCTAATTAAAATTTACAGACCCTTGSCATAGACATTTGACCAGCGTCCACAGCCCAGTACCACATTACTCGCAGCCCATATACATACATTATTTTAAAATTATAGTAAAAGAATTTAAAAAATATATATGTAAGGAAGAAATATTTTTTTCTCTAGTACATATTAGTTCTTATTTTAATAAAATGTATCTATTTGTCAATATTCTTAATTCATTCATTTTTAATTATTCATTGCTTTTATKGGGTTTTTTAGTCTGTTTTTATCATATTATTTTTGAACATTGTTAATAATATTATTGATTTAAGTTTTAACATCCGTTTGAATTAGTTCAATTCAAATTTCTAAAAATTAAAAAGGGATGTATAAAATTGTTTATTTAAATGAGCATGGAAAGATTCACAATTATTGAGGATTCTAGTTAAATCAGCTGTAATTCTTTAAGGAAACTCACATTTTTTTAAATAATTGTCATAAAATTGAGAATTACCACTATTAACTCTTCAACAATACAAATCACTTAAATATAAATTTCTTATTATGGTAGCCTATAATCCAAATGCTTGTTTTTTTCTGTACCAATGTTGTGTGAAACGGAAACAATAGCCTGGTATTAGACATACTGTTTTTACAGYRAGATTAAATAAATSACTAAAATTGTTTATAGATTTATTTTTACAAAAGATAAAGAAAATCAGTATGTTACAGTCAATCCATTATTTAAAATACAAAATAATAAAGTTTATGAACTGTTTACTTAATATAACTATAACTTAGAAAAAACTGATAAAAATATGTTGAACAAAACAAAAAATTATATCAATCAGCGAACTTCAAAACTTTTATCAAAATTTWAATGTAATTGTAATACATGATTTGTCATTTATTAATTCTTTTGCCTATATAAGTAGTCAATTCTATTGCGCTAGATGTTTCATGAACAACATACCTACAATGACTTAAAATTAGAAGGGATTTGTTTTTTACAAACATAGAAAATACTTTTTTGCACTACAATTACATTGGATACACTATAATCTAAATTTAAAATGCGGTGATTTATTTCTATTAAAATAATTTTTCTAAGACAAATACTTATTCCTGCAACAGTTATACGMTTGCATGCTGCAGTTATATTATATTGTTAATAGTTTAACATGATTCATGATTGTTCTTCTATAAAATTAAAGCTAACATCGCTTAATATTTGATAAAGTAAAATTTGAGTGAATACTTAAAAGAGTCAAGATAGTACAAAAACCAAAATTAAAGTTGAATTGTCAAAAACATTTTGTTTGTTGTTAATAATATACCAATATAGTAACAATAGTAACATTAACAGTTGGCTTTACAATACTTATTTTATTARATATTTTATAAAAATTAAAAAATTTTTGAAACATGCCCTTTTATTTGAAGAAATAAATGTATATCTTGTATTACTTCGATAGTCAGCATGTGTTTAAAAATAACTAGTTACTTGAAAATTTGTTTAATGTTTTACAACATTGTTGATTATTAAAACATGATTAAACCATTGATGTATTTTATTTTGACGCAAATGGTTAATTCTCTTAAATTAACAGCCACAGAGAAAAGCATTTGTGTTATGATCTTATTTATATTTGAATCATGATCAAAATTGCATTTTGATAATACATCGTCAACATCACTCAAATACTAATAAAATTATATTTAAATATATCATGCTCAGTATTAGATACCTATAAGTGAATTTAAAACATTTAATATTTGAAATGTTTACTCTTATAATATGCCAATTAATATTATTGATAATAAGTAAATACTATATTGTACATTTTATAATATAAATAATAAACCTATATACTTACTTTCATATTTATTGATGATTTCCAACACTATATAAATAATTAATTTTCTTCTCGATTCGTAAAATTGTTTATTTTCTGTATGTTTATTTATGTCTTTTTGCATTAGCTCCATGCAATATAATTTAAAACAAGTTAAGTTATAGTGAGAATAAAATGGTAAAATACAACTTCACAAAATGAACTCTGACGAGGAAAAAATAAGTCAAGATCCGAATACAAAGAAAAGAAAACAAAATGGTGAAGAGTGAAGACGGTGGAGTAGCCAAGTGTCAATTGTTTACACTTTTGAAATCTTATCAATATTCAGTTAATAAATCGATATGAAAACATTGTTATCATATTTTTGACACAAACTTAAAAAAGAGGTGSCCATTGTTCGCCGTACGTTTTACACTGTAAGTCTAGCATCACCATTATAGATGTAAAGAATGGATAGGCAATGGTTAAATTAATAATATAAAAGAAAGTGTACCCGAATGGAAAAGATATATATATATATATATACATAATTACACATGAATATATCTGTGATAGCATCTCTATAACCTCAAAATATTTTCATGTACATTTCTAATATAAGAGCCACAAATTAAGTATCATCCATTCTATTACATTCGTGTGAGTCCTGCAGTTTTCGCACATCAGTTCACGTTTAGCTTCATGCCTACTCTAGTTTAAAAATTAATGTGAATGTTCCCATTATGAAACGTTAAGTTTTCGATTTATAAGTGATAAGTGCACCAAGTACCACTACCTCTACCGTTTAAAACTACCACTAATCTACCTCTTCCACTCCACAATTATTGTTGCCCTGTTCAGGTTACGAAATGTAATCGGCGGCGACCAGTTTCGTCAGGCAGCTGCAATCCGGCAACATCCATTAGTCTCCCCTACAATGTCAACTAATTGTACACCTGCCGTGTAGACGTGCGGTATTTCCATTTAATACGTCTCTGAGCACTAGTTGGCTATCGACTACGTTTCTAAAGGAGATTCGATATCGTGATTTACTGGCTTTGTCTAACTCACACGTAACAAAGGATTTTAGTCCGTTTTCATTGCCRATCACACTGATTGATATAGTGAAGCGATWAGAATTCTGAAAACAGATTTGAATTTTTCATTAAGTATACTTGAGATCAATATTCCCGCATTTTTAATTTAAGTTCTCTAAAAAATTTAATATGATAATTTTTTAACAAATCTTTAAATTATTTGTAATAATATAACGCTTTTATGAATTTTATGGAATCATTCCAAATATGGGAAAGTCCATCTTAAGTTAGGGTTGTCATTCATCCCAGTTTTACTGTTACACTACCAGTTTTCACTATATAGCCATTGATATTTTTCAGCTCCCTGCTGGGATGTGGATAAATACTGGTTTTTTAAAATTAATTCCAAATGGTCATGCGTGAATCCCTAAAACAGCTCGTTGTTGGAGGGGTGAGGGGGGGTAGATAAATCAATTTAAATATAAAGACATGGTGGTATACACCACGGCCTACTATAAGTTAATTTTAGGTTTGGTGAGAAATTTTTTTTTTTTTTGAGAGAGAGAGAGAGAGAGAGAGAGAGAGAGTGAGAGAGAGGATTAAGCTCCCCACAATATACGTCTATGTGCTAAACGTATACCCTAGAAAAAAATTACGAATACATCACTGGATACAACAAATAAGGGTGTTGAGTCCTTTAAATAATTCAAGTTTATTTTTCCTAGGTTAACCAATAATTACACCAAATATGTAATCACAGTTAAATATATTTAACAAGTGGTATTATATAGGCAGTATGAAACCTAATAGCCTCTACCCATGACCATTGTGTTATTGTGAATGTGGTTTTATTTAACTATTACCTAAARTAATGTATACAGGTACCTACCAAGCTAAGTGTGCACACAGGAAAAAATCTGAAATTATGCACCTGAAAAAGATCTGTAGGATATTTTCAATTATGACATTATAGAAATTTAATATATTATAGCAGTGGTTTCCAACCTCTTTTTATTACCTTTAACCTTAATATTTTTCTAGATTGTAACTTTTTTCATAACTACTCTTAAAAATTAAATAAAAAATAACAATAATATAATACAATGTAAWATTGTATATATTTTTATATTTTGTRATAAAACACATAAAAAAAGAAACTAATTATTTTAATAATTTAAAATTGAATGATTAAAATTTTTAATATGAGAATGAAGTTACCAACATTTTTCTASAATCACCAATTTTTTTTTGCGTACCCTTCGATATAATTTCGCATACCCCCAAAGAGTATCCTAGGTTGAGAATCTATACATTATAGTATAAGTGCGTAGGTTAATAACGAAGGTATTTGGGGGGGGTGCTAACAAATTATTTTAGGGTATTAAGCAGATGGGAGATACCTGGTTATGACTATAGTGAAGACAAAGCCTCTCATGCAGTGGTGCAATTAGGGCTAAAATGTGGGGAGGAGGGGATTTAACTCCTTAATATTACGTGAAAATTATTATAATAAAAAGAAAAATATTCATTTATTCAAGTTTCATCTATCTTTTATTTTTATAATTACATTTTTTTTTTTCAATTTTAATCACAATATCTTTTTCAGTATAAATTATTGATAAGTTACTAAACTGATCTTGGTTCATTGTAGAACATATTTATGTATTTACATGGGAGGGGGGGTATAGATAAAATGTTAAAATATT